AAATTAAAAAGGCTAAACAGAAATCCTGGACAAAATTCTGTGCAGCTGCCTGCCGACAGCTACACAGAATTTAGTCCAGGTTTCCTCACTCATTTTTGCTATACTAAACCCAAGTACAGACAGGTCTTGACTCCACCACTGCTGGGCAAAATTTATATGAAGTTGCAAACAAAAAAATGCACCAATTTTGTTTCACTGATTCACAAGATGATGAAAATGACCACCACTGCAACACCTGCTATGAGGCTAGCAGAGTCAGCAACACTATTAATATCCCTGATTCCAATCTGCCGAAATCGGTTGGGCCTTTGCTGGCTTTTGTAACAAAAAGGCTCCTGGACACGACGGCATCTCATCTGAACTAGCAAAGAAACTTTTAAATTTAATTCCCGTGAATCTGACCAAAATCTACAATGCCTGCCTACATCATGGTATTTCTCCTAATACGTGGAAACAAGCTAGAATTGTGCAAGTTCCTGAGTTGGGAGCCCTTCCCGGCTTAGGAACTGCATAGATGATAGCCTCCCAATCTCCCTCCTACCAATTCTAGGCAAGATGCTGTAGATTTTAATAAATAACAGGCTTCTTTGGCATCTTGAGAAGAACACTTACCTACACAACAATCAATTTGGGTTCCGGCCGCAAGGTATGTGTTGGCCACCAGCCCAGACATTGCCAAGGCATTTGACAGTGCCAGTTCTATACTCAAAGGCCCAAGAGACAGAAACTGCCTGGCTAATATTTACGAGATATTGACATACTACTTCGACAATAGACCAGCGGATCGTGTTATGGAGGACATACAGTCTGAAGAAATATAATCCGTGGGCTGCCCATAGGTCTTGGTAGAATAAAGAGTAAAAAATAAATACTTTCTATGGCTTCTAAAAATGTGTTTTCTGAATAATTAAAATTGCCGAGTGTTACCGTGTTGTGGAACATGTGTAGAAATAGAGAAAATTCAGGAACACTTGCCAAAAGCTTCGAAGTTTGATATTTTATCAATTTTTATGAAGGAAAAAATAAAAATTTCTTTAAAATTCGCATTTTCATGAAAAATGCGACATCTATTAACCGGAGTGCTAATCAAAATGAGAACATGAAGTTACACATCTATTCATCACACCACTGTATTGTATATTAAAATGTATTACCTTTACCATCCAGTAGCTTATTTTTATTCATGAACGACTGTTTTTTTCGTCGGCCTTCATCACTCACCTTTCGGTTAAGCAAATATCAGTCAAAAATACATTACAATAGTTCAAATGTTCTGTTTGGTTAATGCTTAATAGCAAACGAAGATGCTTGTGATGTTCATAGATTAATGTGCAGACAACGAAACGATGATTATGTCAAAACAGCAAGCAGCTAATTTTCAATTGTATACGTTGTATTTAATGTGAAATTTAAATGAAAATTGTAGAGTTTTAATCCAAATAAATCGCACTTGTTGAGATTTTTAACGTTGTCGCATTTTAATATTTAGTACAGTTGTCCCTCTATAGTTCGACGTTTTTTAATCCGACATGCTCAGTAGTCCGACGCACCTCCCGTCAAGGTATCTGTCCCCGTTACGTGTCTGCTTGCACAGAAGCATGTCGCGATGTGAATCTCCCCATCCAATTTTTACACGATGACACACATTTCGTGTGTTTTATGTGAGCAGTTCTGTTCGAACAGTTGGAGTAGAGAATAATGTAAGTTACTGCTAGCAAAACAATGCGAAATATGTAATTATTTTCGGTAATCCGGACACTTTTGGTAATCGGACACACCTTTGGTCCCATACCTGTCGGATTATCAAGGGACAACTGTATTAATTACGTTTAAATTAATACTCCTGTTTAAGTATAGTTTTGCTATTTAGAATTTTATAATTCCTATCTAATTTAATATATACGCCATTTTTAAGTAAAGTACGGTATTTTATAATTGATTTTAGTTGCTAATATATTTACTTTACATAATAATATTAATATTATGAAGTTCATCGTAAATTTTATAAACACTTTAGGAAATTTCCTATATAGATTTATAATCGTTTATTATTATTAAAATTCTTGAAATGAAAAATTCATTATACATTAATGCATTTTCTTCGTTGTTTTGGAATTTTATATTAAAAGCACATGAATATTAATAACTTGGTCGATAGAATAATAATTTAGATACTGCACAAACCTAGATGGAGAAAGAATATTGCTTGTACTGTTTTCTCCACCAGACATTTTCTTTGTCTCTACCTTATGGCGATATTTGCTACGAAAGATGCGCATGCCATCAACTTACAAACAGACAGAACAAATTCGTATCTATTCATGCCAATTTCGTGCAGTCGATAATAATCACTCACTTTCTTACACTTGCCATTGAATACTTTGGAACCAAAGATAACGTCATCCTTTGCAGTCCGATTGTCAATGCAGCAGGAAAAGATAATGCTCATATTTTGTCTGGAATATTTCTCTGTTTATCATTGAGTTCCCTCATAATAATTCAGAATGGCAGAAAAGAAAAATTGTCTCTTGATCTCAAATTAACCGGAAACGAAAGTGAGATACAAAATCTACGTTTGTACCAACGTTTTACGCATTACTTTATTGCGAGCTCCTATGCCTTCGTTCTGCTTTTTATCAGTCTTGGCAATTCTATTGTCCTTTTCAAACGAATAGAAATGGCATCAAGTAATTCGAGAGCATTCATCTGTTCTGTCGCATTCCAAATCAGCTTCATATACGAATCGACATTATGGATGTGGTTCATTTCCACAAGCATATTGTTTGGTATCTGCTTAGTGCAGAGATTCGACGCTTTATCTGTAAATTTACAGCAGGCAAAAATGCAATCTGTAAAGGAGAAAATCGACGATTTGATTTCAAACCACGCAAATCTTAGCCAATTTATCGAAGATATCAATGAGAAGTGGAATAAAAATTTTTTCGTTATATACGGAATGTGCCTCTTTGTCCTGTCTTTTCGCATGTACGCATCTATCTTCGGCAGATTTCTTCTACATGTTCATATTATGGTGTGCTTTTCAACAATACTTCTTATGATTGTAACCATCGTCACCGTTTTCGCGATTTCTCGTTTTATCGCTTCGGTAATTAAAATGCGCTATAAACATTTTTTTAAATTAATGTTTCGATTGTAATTTGTTAATCTGATTTACAGGTTTACGATTCTTTTCAAGAAATCAGAAGATTCTCTGCATTTCCTCTCTCGTTAACTGACAAGTTAAAGGTGAGTTGTGTTAATAGATTAATAATATTACCTGATTGTAAAGAAATTTATATAATTGCTGTTATATAGATATTGAATTTTATGAAGAAATTTCAAGAAAAGAAAATTGGATTTAATTGTGGCGATTGTTTCATCTTTTCTAAAGACTCGCCCGTTGAGGTATGTGTCGTCTAGCAAATATAGATGTTTATTTTTCATTCTAAGCACAGAATCATTTTTTCTAATATAATTTAATATAATTTATTTTTCGTCTAAATAAATAATAAAAAGTAAATTATTTATATTATGAGTGGATGTATTACTTAACTTTCTTTTTCAGGTATATCGTGGTTTGTATACCGTATTCAATATGCTATTACAGATTCGAGACATCATGATCGGAAGTTCGTCATCGTCTTGTATAACTGCTACCATCTCAAATGATTCTCGTAATTTTAATATTTCTACATTATAAATCGGTATATATACACTCATTTCAGTGTACAGACTGCAATTAGAAGTATATATATTTATAATAATGTCACCTTTTCCTATAAAAAACTAATACAGTAGTTGATTACGGGTTTGAGTCTCATCAATGCACTAATCACCCAAATATATTCGGTTTTTCTATATATGAATAGCATGTAAATAGGAACTAGTTTTTTTTAGAAATTCCTCCTGGGATGAATTTCTCTTTGAGAAATCGTTCACATGTTGCACTTCTTTATACTATTAAACCAAAACTACTTGTACAGCAGAATTAAAGTTATTTTACATATTAAGATTAAGAAGTATGAATATATTTATGTACTATGTTTATAAATTCAGAAATAAACAGAATGCTAAATAGACAAGTTGGCAAAGTAATTTGTAGTTTATGATTGTAAGAAAATACTGTTTTATGTAGAAGTCAAGTTCACTCACAGTATGTTCCGAAAGTCTTATTAGCCTTAAAGTAGTTTCATGCTGTTGTGTAAATGATCGTCCCGTCTTGTTCTTATTCAAGTTTATGTTTTCATTAGAATAATGTTTTTTTCTTTAGCCGTTGAAAATGCTTTATGATGTTAACAGCGTGAGTACACTCACGAGCTCATATATTTACATTAGGTCATTCGATTACACTGTAGAAGGTTGTCTCCAATCCGATGGGAGTGATAAAATAAAAATGTTGAACTTTGGATAACATATTGGGCCGAGAAGGCTTTCGGACAACTCCGTACAATGTGAGAACAATCACTAGATTACGTTACACAAACTGAAAAGTTATATGGATTTCTCACAGTAGGAGATAGGGCTAGTTCTCATTCTATCCAATTAAGGAGTTCAGCTTTATAATTTGGCAAAGTAATCCATTGGAGATGGATAATTTCGAATTACACATAAAATGTATAAATATCGTATTGGATTGTTCACAATTTTCCGACAATCCAATACGATGCATTAAAATTTATTGAATAAGAATGATTTTAAATATTTCACATATCCAAGGAAAATGTATTGAATTAAATAGGTTCTACACACGAATACTATGTTAAATATTTTGCTGTAAATATTGCATTCTATATTAATAATTTTAGTAGAATTATACAATATACACTTGTGTTTCCTTTTTACGACTGGAAGCCTCCCAAAGAAACGATGTTGTAGCCAAAAACAATCTCTGTTTCAATTGCTTAAGTGATTGACATAAGTTATCCAGTTGAAACTCCAAGAGCTGCTGTAAGATATGCCGAAAGCGACATAATACATTACTGCATCGAGAGAAACAAGCTATGATTGGTTCAAATGTGCCAGTGGTCGACAGCAAACCAACTCCAATCAAGCAGGACCTTAATCCCGACGCAATAGAGTTTCGTGAAAGTATACCTCACTCACTGTCATGCATTGACAATGGAAATAAGACAGTAATTCTCTCGACAGCCATGGTTTGGGTTTTAAATCATACTACCGGAGCCAGCATTCAAGCGCGCGCAGTATTGGACTCGGGCAGTATGTCAAATATCGTTACTAGAGATTTCGCAAGTCGTCTGGGTACCCCGCAAGAAAGAATCGATCTCACAGTCGAAATAAAACCTCGGTCAAGTTTAGGCTGATTGCCACAATAATAAACGGCAATGGATCTTTTTCTAAGAAGCTGGAGTTCTTGGTGGTGCCAAGGATCACGGATTTACTTCCTGTTTCCTCTCTACACATTAGCAAAACAGAAATTTTACGTCAGTTAGCTGATCCAAGATTTGCTACACCAGGCAAGATTGATATGTTTATTGGAGCTGAAGCATTCTTTGAAATAGTTAAGAACGATCAAATTCGTCCATCGTGCAATAATAACCTAACATTTCGTAACACAGTTTTTGGATACATCGTAACTGGATCTACAGAATCTAATAATCAAGATCAATATTGTGGACTAATATCAGAGCCAGAGTCAGTCGATAAGTGTTTACAAAGGTTCTGGCAAATAGAGACTCTAACAGAGGCTCCAAGTTTGGTGAGTAAAGAAGAGGAGTATTGCGAAGATCATTATCAAAGAACTCACAGACGTAATGAGAACGGGAGATATATTGTGCAGATGGCAACCAAGGACATACAAAACTTGGGAGAGTCAAGGAAATTAGCATTGAGGAGATTGGACCATATGGAAAAGGTGCAAGAGCATTCTGGTGATCAGGTATCAAACCCCATATGTTATTACCTTCCGCATCATGGTGTGTTTAGACCAGACAAAACCACTACAAAGTTAAGGGTAGTCTTCAACGCATCTGCTCCCACAACTTCTGGACTGAGCTGAAATGATCATCTCTTGAAAGGTGAAGTAAAGGAAGATGTTTTCGAGATTATGACAAAATTTCGAAAATACAAGTACGCATTTACAGCAGATATCCAGAAAATGTTTCGTCAAATTCTAATTGAGCCCTCGCAACGAAATCTCTTAAGAATTGTTTGGAAGAGCGAGGAAGATGAAATGTCAGTCACCTATAGACTGAAAACTGTGACTTACGGGACCGCCAGTGCTCCCTTTCTTGCGGTGAGAACTGTTAAGCAGTTGGCTCACGATGAAGCAGCAAGATATCCTCTGGCCTCTAAAACCATATTACGAGATGTCTACATGGATGACATCGTATCAGGTGAGCAAGATTTCGATGCTGCCCTCGAACTACAATCTCAGTTGTGCAATATGTTGAGCACATGTGGAATGACACTACACAAATGGAATTCTAATTCAATGAAATTGATGAACAGTAGTTACCAGAAAATAAAGAACATTGTTTTTCTCAAGTGCGGAACCAACAGTAAAAACCTTAGGCATTATTTGGAAACCGGTTGAAGATCAGTTCATATTCAAGGTATCGATTCCAGAAAAATAGTTTATACGAAACAAGAAGTATTGAGTGTCATCGCCAGGCTTTATGACCCCTTGGGTCTTCTAGGACCAGTTATAATTCGAGCAAAGATCTTTCTACAGAAACTGTGGCTCAGTAAGCTCAATCGGGAGGATACTCCACCAGAAAACCTTAACTATGAATGGGTGAACTTTGTATCGTCCTTGAAGGCCTTGGACGACCTTAAGATTACTAGATATATTTTGACAGACCCCCTTCAAATAGCTGTCTTGCTAGGATATGCAGATGCTTCGGAGTCAGCTTACGGAGCAGTAGTTTACATGCATTGCATAAAGGAAGATGGAGCTGGCAAGACACGACTTATTGCTAGTAAACCTCGTGTCGCTCCTCTTAAAGTCATTACAATCACTCGATTAGAGCTATCAGCTTGTCTTGTACTGTGTCAGCTGATCAAGAAAGTACGCTCATGTCTGCGAATGGATATAGCTGAGGTGATCTTACACACAGATTCAACTATTGCCATCGCTTGGATCAACACTCCCGTATATCGCCTGAAGACCTTTATTGCGAATCGAGTGGAAAAGATACGATCTAGTACTGAAGGCTGTCACTGGAAACATATAACCTCCCACTCCAATCCTGCAGATGTAGTTTCTCGGGGTTTAAAACTGCAAGATCTACTATCCATGGAATTATGGTGGAGTGGGCCGCAATCAGTAATGTCAGTGTCAAGCTCTGACCTTGACATTACCTTGTTTGAACTTAATATTAATTATATGGAATTAATTCGCATACTTAGTTATATTTTCCGGTTTCTACATAACATAAGGCATGTAACTCGTCGATCCGAACATTTATCAAGGGAAGAACTCCAGGAGTCCAAAATTTATTTGATCGGCAAGGTACAAGGAATTGCCTTTGCCGAAGAAATAAAAACACTGCAAATGAGAAGGAATCTAACGAAGGGTCAGTTAAGCAGATTGCATTCCTTTCTAGATAAACAAGACCTAATGAGAGTCGGCGGTAGATTGAGCAATTCAAATTTACCATTTGACAAAAAGTTTCCAATTCTGCTACCTAAAAATTACAAGTTAACCCACTTAATTATGAGATATTATCATTTGAAAAATTTGCATGTTGGTGCGCAAACTTTACTTTATCTCGTCAGACAAGAATTCTGGCCTTTAAGTGGAAGAAACCTGGCTAGAAGGGTAGTACATGAATGCATCGTTTGCTTTAGAAATAAACCCAAAGGCATGGAACAAATCCTAGGAAATCTTCCTTCAGAGCGAATCACTCCAAATCCCCCTTTCAAACATGTAGGGATTGATTTTTGTGGTCCTTTCCTTATTAAATATAAAGGACAAAAAAGGGGAATCTATCACAAGTGCTACTTCGCAATCTTTGTTTGCCTTGTGACTAGGGCAATTTACCTTGAAGTAGTTACTGACTTAACAACCGAGGCAATGGTAGCAATTTTGAAAAGATTTTTTAGCAGACGGGGTAAAAGCGCGTCAATTTGGACAGATAATGCCACAAATTTTGTGGGTGCCAGTGTGGAGTTGAAACGCCTACATCACTACGTAAGAGCACCTCCTGACAGTTTAGCTGATTATCTCACCAGTGAGGAGGTCACTTGGAAGTTTATACCACCTACATCACCAAATTTCGGTGGTCTTTGGGAAGCAAGAGTCAAGTCCTTTAAACATCACCTAAAGAGAACCGTAGGTAACTCGCATCTAACTATTGAACAATTTATAACCACACAGATAGAAGGAGTTTTCAATAGCCGACCGCTCACTCTTATGTCCTCTGATCCAAACGACTTCCAAGTTTTAACTTCAGGACACTTTCTTATCGGAAGACCTCTGATTAGCCTACCTGAATCAGATCTTACTGGTAAACCAGATAATTATTTGTCTCAATGGCAAATGTTAACTAAATTTGTTCAAGTTATATGAACTGGGAGTGGAAATTGGACTACTTAAACTACTTACAGGCACGACATAAGTGGCAATTTGAGAAAGACAATATGAATGGTCTTTTTAAAGGATGAAAATCTCCCACCCGGTAGTTGGTCGATGGGCCGAGTACAAGAAGTGATCAAGGGATCTGACGGAAAGTTGAGAGTGGTTCTAGTGAAACGCCTAAGAGTGTCTTTAAGAGAAGCATAACCAAACTGTGTCTGTTACCATCCATCTAGGAAGAAAATGTGGTTCGCCTTGGTGACCTATACGTGCCATTTTTGTTGTAATTAAATTTTAATTTATGTTTAACATTGTTTATTGAAGTATTACTTCAACGCGGGCCGGGATGTTAGCGCCTCAAGCGCAACCGTATTTTTGTCATAAAAAAAATTTAATTAAAAAATTTGTGTACGAGAGTAGTTCTGTAACGGTCATTTGTAGCAGCCATCTTGTACCAGTGTTTCACTCCGCATTAAACGTTATTGTTTGCAAAACCGCATTAATTTCATATTTTTACAGTCCATTAAAGATCGACAAACAAGTATTAACACTTTTTTTAGTTGAATGCATCACATGAAGGAACTCGGAGTGCTTATTTATGCATTAATCAATTTAACACAGAATTTTTATATCATACTTTCAAAATAATCAAGATTTTCAAATGTAAGCAGTAATTTATTAAAGAAACCATCAATTAACATTCGTTATTAAACCTAAAATTAATCTCCGTTAAAGTATTTTCAAAGGAAATTAATGTAAGCAATTAAGCTTACATTAATTGTAAGCCACCAATGTAAGAAATTAATGTAAGCCATTAAGCTTACATTAATTTCCATTAATTCAATAATAAAGAGAAAATTTTGAAATGTTTGTATGTAACAAACAAGTAATAAAAGTCGTCTTTAAAGTAGATTCAGTCTTACGTAACGTAATGGACATCATAATTGATATTTTTAATATCTCCGCCACATGATAAAATGAACAAAAGTGCAAACAGTAACAGTGTTTTGAACCATTCATCGAAGCTTTTAGCGAAATGACAATCCACTTGTAAATTGTTCTTATATAAGGACAATGCAGTTGAGACAATACAGAAGCCGCTCATCGTAGTGGTGACCAGACCCTAAAGACTGGGAGGTTCGTCGTGGGTTCGCGCCACGGTCGGACAGGCTGGCTGCTTGGAGTTTTCTGGGTTTTCTCCTTGCCTATAACGACTGAATAGGAGGCCAGTTCCCCATAAAAGTCCTCCCGGAAGGCATTTATTTCCCGCGCGTACGTATGGCTGTTCGATACAGCCGGCTAATCGGTCGCCTAGCGATCATACACATACACAAGTCTACTCGGAGAAAGAGCCTACATTGAGCTAAAATCTCCATATAAAACACCATCGAAGAAGAAGAAAGAAAGAGAGGACAATACAGAAACTGTATGCGGACGAAGCTCGTCAGGTTCCTTTGCGAGATATATCTTTCGTACTCGATCGTAGTCGTAAATTTATATTAATTTCATTTATAAAACTAGTAAAGGCCATTATCTAAAACAATGTCGCTTCAACACAAGAACATATGTTTGGATTATATCTTATCTCCAATTTTGGATTCTGCTAAAGTTTACGGATTGGATTTCTGCAGTCGATGTAAATGCATGTCAACTGAAATAAACACACAAAAATACAATTATCGTTTAACTTTTTTCAAAATATACAGCGGTGTCATCGAAATATTTTTGTGGATAATCGCGTTACTCCACTTAATAAGACTATACGACATGAATTTATATGCCATGCGTGTAATTCAAATGTACAATGATTATGCTTTACCAGCAGCGGTTGCCAGCGCTTTCCTATCTATTTATGTAGCTGCTCAGTTTAGCATTCTGAAGAGGAGCAAGATTTCACTTCATTGCATAATTAGCAGTTACGAAGGAGAATGGAAAATCACCGAGCAGATACAAGTATACCTAATTAGCATCGTTTCCTGTTTGTTTTTTATATCCATGTTGCTTAATATAATGACTGGAATTTCTTATTTTATAATAATAAAGAAACTAAAAGGCACAGATATGGAAGCTTTCGTTTGTGCTTGCCTTCATACAGTTTGGTTTTTATATCTTGCAGGACAGATTATATTCTTGTTATTAATATGCACATTACTTGGCATAACATTGGGCAAAAGATTGAAAAGTCTGTCCTTAGAACTATTTAATATAAATATAAGTAAGTTGTTGTTACTAGAACTGAATGAAAGAACAACTAAAATTAATGCGTTAATGTGGAAACATCAAGAAATTTGGGAGTTCTTTGAAATGATAAACGAGAAATGGAATATCCTTATACCATTTATATACACTCATTTTCTGTATGCGACGTGTTTTCTTTTGTATGCGACATTATTTGTGGATATGGAACTGACACTAAAGATTTGTTTTTCAATCCTTTCATTCAATTTCCTTTCAGGAATCATTTTAGTGAGTTGGGCGCTGTCTTTCTTCACGACATTGGTAAGTTACGAATACTGGTTAAGTGTTGACGTAAAATATTTCAAAATACAATTATAACAATTACACTTGATATAAAAACTTTTTAAATAAGTTTTAATAGATCTAAGTAAGTCTATAACGATTCATTTAATGTCAGTTAACATTGCAATTTGTATACTCCAAACTTTTATCGTGTAAGTGTGATTTATTTTCATTTTTGAATACATTAGATACGATTTTTCAATTGTTTTTCATTTGTAGTTTATGACATGTTATATATAACAGAAGGAAACTATCTCAATCGGTCAAAAAATGACCGTTTAAAAATCAAAAAATGCAATAAACCGAAAATTTTTTCTGTATTCTTCGGGGATAGTTTGTTTTGAAGGGCGAAATTTTGTTCATTATTTTTGAAGCTTACATGGTAATAACTCGTGCGCTTTTGTGGCAAATCTGTAAAATTTTGCAGGGAGGTTCGGTGTTTAGAAGGATTCGTGTTGTTGATTCTAGTGGTTAAAGGTGTAAAAGTGAAGAGATAAAGAGGTCGTGTATATATGCAGTAAAGTCACACTTAATTATGATTTTAATCGTCACTCTCGATTAGTCGTTTACGTCGAATTATAACTTGTTAAATAATTTATTCCTAACCCCAGAATTAAGGATTTCGACAATTTATAATAGTTGAAGGAATAAAAAGCTTTTTTAATATCTAATATTTTAAGAAATGGTGTCACCAAAAGAAGCAACTTAAAACTGGATATTTCCTGATTAATACTTTTCGTCTTGCGAGACTTTCTTTCATTTGTTATAATTTCTGTTTAGTTACTTTCTACAAAATTGTTTATTACGAGATAATTAGTATTTCTTTATATCCTAACTGAACTTTTTTTGCTGAGAAACAGAAACATGCTTGAACTTTGAGAGACCAAAACCTAAACATTTGTCTCTTGCGATAACTAATATTTATTTTACAGTAGAATGTCATCTAATGAAAAATTTACACTGCTTTCTTTTCAGATGTACGACAGCTTTATAAATATTAAAAAGATTTCTTCTGTGGCCTTTCCTTTAGAATTTAAGTTCAAGGTAATGAGAGTTTGTTTACGTTCTTTTATATTTAAATTTTTCACAAATTCGCACACAAACTCTTGTGCTTTTTATAACGAAATAAAGTCATTTCCTTTCAGATCGACGATTTCATGAAGAGATTTGGAAAGAATCCCATTGGTATATCCGTTGGAGGATTCTTTTACATTAAGAGAAATTTTGTTATAAGAGTAAGTATTTAAAATCACTAGTTGTAAAGCGCAACAAAAACTAATATTGTGTCGAAAATTAGTAAAAATTCCATTGTGTTTCATTATAATTTCAGGTAATTAGCGGCTTATACTCTACATTATCTTCGTTTATTGAAATTAGTGGCGTATTGGAACGTGAAAACAAATGTTTTGTGAAGTACAGAAACCACACAAGAGCTTTACATAATTCTAGTATTATGTCGTAACTAAGTTAGTTATTAATATGATAAAATAAGAAAATTTCAGGATTATCTTACAATTCTTGTGTAATAGTTGAATATATGAAAAACTAGCTGTTACCCTCGACTTCGCCCGCGGAGGTTTTGCAAGCAAACCCCATTTATATTCATTATTTCATCAACCATAGTAATTGTTATATAACACCTACCGCTGAGAATGATGAGAATCGCTGAGAATCAAACGAACTGTTTTCAATTTAATCAATTTCCTGGATCAATTACAATCGTTTTTATAATCGAACCAATATGCAATAACAAATTCGAATTTAAAAAGGTTCGAACATTTGGTTAAAAATTCGAAATATATGAGAATATCTATAACAATGTCTGAAATGTTATTAATTTAAGGGAAAGAATGAAATCAATTTCAAAAGTCGCTTTAGCCGTTGCAATTGCTTTATGCTCTTAACAGTGTGAGTACACTTAAGATCTCATATATTTACAATAAGTCATTCTGTTACACTGTAGAAGATTGTGTATCCAATCTAATGGAAGTAATAAAATAAAAATGTTAATCTTCGGATAAGCTATTGGGCCGAGAACACTTTCGGACCACTTTGTACAATGTGAGAACAATCATTAGATTACATTACACAAACCGAGTTAAATATAAACGATATAAATTTTTCCAGTGGGGGATATTGCTAGTTTTCACTCTATAAAATTAAGGAGTTCAGCTTTATAATTTGGCAAAGTAATCCATTGACTATGGTTAATTTCGAATTACGCGCAACATGTATAAATATCGTGTTGGATTGTTCACAATTTGCCGACAATCCAATACGATGCATCACAATTTACTGAATAAGAATGAGTTCGAATATTTCACAAATCCAAGGAAAATGTATTGAATTAAATATGTTGTACACACGAGTAGTGTAGCAATGTTAAATATTTTGCTGTAAATATTGCATTCTATATTAATAATTTTAGTAGAATTATACAATATACACTAGTATATTATGGATATTTCATTATT